TTAACTAATTAATTGAAATGTTTTAGCCATTTAATTTAATTTAATTAAATAAATAATTAAAATAAACTTTGTCTCAAAAATAATCTCTTGATTGATCATTTTTCAAAGCCAAAGCCGACCGAGCGACGACGACGGCGCGAGGGGGGTCCCTTTCCAACCCTTTTAGCAATTAAGAGAAGTGTTTCTATATTTAAACTCTTTCTATTTTTCCTTCCACCACCGATGAGGGAGAAATGCCTTTTTTACTAAAGCATAAGAGGACATTTCAAGTTCCTCTCTTTTCATCTTCCCTCCATTTCCCATTAACTCTTGCTATATACCCAACAAGTGTAACAACTCTTCCCCAATCGACATATTATTTCACTACAAAAGTGATTCCGGAACTGACTACCGAGTGAAAAAGTTTGACTATGTCATACTATTTCCTCTTTTAGTTGTCCCTATTTAGTTGTCCATTTTGACAAATCAAGAAAGGACAACAAATTTTTTCCTATTATACCCTTATTTAAACTTCTTGAAAATTTCTAATTGTAAAAGTGTATGTTATTTCCCTCCAATTTATTTCACTTGAATTCAAAGAAGTGGCTATACTTTTAAAGTGAAAAGTTGTCATAAATAAAGTAAATAAATTTATGAACTTCCCAACATTGATTAGTTATCTTGAGTGAATTTATTTTGGAATTGTAAATTGTACTATAAGGGTAAAATTGTAACTTCACTATGTTAATCATTGTTGCCTTAATCTGTGTGTCATTTCTAAAGTGGACAACTAAATAGGGACGGAGGGAGTAGTTCATAAGCATTTTTTAATGATGAATGAACCTATGCCAATAATCTCTGATGCAAATCAATCCTGATACAATCTCAGAGGCTGATGCTGAATCACAATCTAGAATAGTTTTAACGACCTCTCTGATGCAATTCAGTGCTGATTTTCGAGCTTTAAATTGTCATACCAGAAAAAGGCACAAATACAGATAGAAGATGACAATTTTATTACCCAACTACTCTAGAGATTCGAAAAGTGACAAGATTCATCAGCATTACTTATGAAATGCACTACAGTTAGAAACTCGACGATAAGCACTACTCAATAAAAAAGAACTGTTTTTAAAATTCTCCCTTCAATTTTTCACTTTGCAAGCTTGATGTAGTCTTATTACAAGGAATAGGCCAAAGCAACCTCATTGTGAAATAGAGATTTCAATTTTTCAAACATTCATGCTCTTCCTTGTGATTCCGCAAATTGATTGAACAACTCCTGCAATAATAAATGGATCAACAAACTGAAACAAGCTAATAGACAAGCAAGGAGAAAATATCTGGCAGGTTATCTAAAGAGTAAGTGCTACTCCTTTTCAAATAATCTGAAGTTCTGCCAAAATCAAAACAAAACGTTGTGTTTAGCTATGTTGCTCGGACTCTTCAAAAATGTCAATGTGGTATGTCAGATTCTCCAAAAGTAAAGTATTTTTGGAGAATCCGATAGGGATACGGCATTGAAAGTGAAGAGTCCGTGCAACTTAGGTGCTTAGATCCTCATCAAGTGGAGATGATGATTCTCCAATTTCACGATCAAGTAGACCTCAATCCTAAATCAGTTGGCATTGACTATATGAATCCTCTATATCCATTCCCCTATATTAAGGCTCATTTCAATTTAAGAAGTTACTGCTCTTTTGTGGATTCTTATTATAATCAGGAAATGATATAGGTGGATAAAATTGGATTCTGAACTCGTAAAATGGTTTAATAAAAAAAAATGATGAACCTTGAAGCTGAAGTATTTGAATAGATTGTATCATTTGTTGTAATTGTATAATCTTTTTATTGTTTGGTTTGACGGTATCAGTTACAACATTTCAATATGTTAGAACTCACAAGAGAATTGTAGAAAACCTTAATAAGTAACAGACCGTTTCTATTGATTAAACAACTGCAAAATGTATATTCCAATTCCTGCCTATACCAAATTTTGTCTATAGTGTTCTTGTTACCATCTTTTTTTTCATCTTAAAATTAAATTCATCCCGATCTGAAGATGATCCCTTGGCTTCACAGTGGCAATAGACGCTTTGCGCTGCTCAAATTTAATTCCAATTCCTCTATTGACTTTGCATATTTTCAAAAGTTGTATAACTATAGCCTTGAAAAGAATTACCCTTTCAATGAGGGCAGTCTAATGGTTGCTCATTGCAACACCTCCTACCTTCGGGTTAAGGTTGAATTGGAAGCTAGGCTATGAATAAAAATTTCAATTGAGTTCGCATAAGGTCTAACTTCAAACAACCTATTTAAACATACACATGTCTCTTTAGAGAAGTTTTAGTTCATAAATTGATTTTCCTAATATCACCAGTGAAGCACATATTAACAACTGGATGACCAATCATTGAATAGACAAGGAACTGTTTGTGCTATGTCAGGGTTGACCTCGAGCAAGAAACATCACCAGAAGCAGTAATGGTAAACTTGACAAGTCTTGTGCCTACAAACATTGAACTTTTCACTGATTACACAGTCCACAACTGAAACTCCTTTGGTGGAATATGCTAATTAGCTGAGTTGCCTGAATGGAAACCAGCCCTCAATATTACCATGTCCATCAACAACATACACTGTCAACATCAATGGCATCAGTTAAATCAAGATAGGATACTTAAGATTCACCTCAATGCATCTTCAAACATCACCATCCATTTTTCTCATAAATTAGCATTATATATATAACCTGGTCGGATCATGCGACCAATCAGTTTCAAGTGCTCTTATCAGAATCATATTACGAAAAAAAGTACCTGAATAAACATTAACACAAATCTTTGAAGATTTGGCTCAATTTATATTACAATTCAGTTTCCTTTCACCGAGAGCATTTTGAGTTTTGATCTTTAATCGTCATGTCCATAGGGCATCCCACACTGATCCAAAGTTATCGTCGTCTAAGAAGCTCATAGGGATATTATGAGTGAAATTGTCCAAAGATTGTTGTGGTGGTGATATTGCTAGTGGAGATTGGCCCATTTCCATGCAAATTAGTTCCAAGAGATGAGCTTGTTGGCAGTGCATGTTGACAACCTCAGCTTGTGCCTTTGCCAATTGTGATTGGAGATCACTCACTCATAGGGATATTATGAGTATAATTTGTTTTCTTCAGTAACATAAAGAAGTTAGAGGAAAATGACTTCTTGCCTATTCCCTTTCTTTTATCAATAACAGCCAAATAAGATCTAAACGTCAAATGTTATTATGGTGCGTAACAATAACAGCAGCCAAAAAAATGTCCGTCATTATAAAGAGGTCCAATTTTTGTCTTTCGTAATTACACTTATAAATCTCAATCCTGAACATTCTTGAGGAAAAAATAGCAATATTTGCTGCTTCACCTTAACTAAGATCATATGCATAACTTGAAATAACATCACTTACTATATATATACATACAAAATAAAATTCCATCTGATGCTTCAAACTCGTGCACAACAGAGCAATGTAGAGGATGGAAGTATTACCAAAATCGAGCACGACACCATCTGTACATATCAACTTGACCTTGTAACACTGCTGATCTAAATGCAGGTTCAGCATTTCAAGCGTAGTCATTCTTTGAGCCAGTGAAGCACATTTTAGACATACTGCTGGAAGGAAATCTCGCGGTAAACATGTTTACCTGTTAAAGGCACAAAATGATACAATGGGAATTTGAGCAATTACAGTTTCTCAATTTTGAAGTGCAGCTGGAGCAGTGAAAAAACATCAGAGTTTCATATGTGAAAAACTCCTTGCTCAATATTTCGTTCTCATACTGATGAAAGAAAAGTGAAATTCGAGAGAAAAGAGAAAGTACCTTTCTTCACCTACACTATGCGGACAGATCACAATTGATCTGATATTTGCCTATTCAGTAGAGAATTTTGGCACAACTGACGAAAGAAAGAAAAAAGATGGTTAAGTTGAGATCAGATAATAAAGTTAAGATTGTGCTTAGGCTTTTAGATGTTAAGTTATGGGAAGACAAGCTTTCTGTCTCGTGTGCATCCGAACTCTCTCCGTAGAAATATCAGAAATCAAGAGTTAAACATGTGTATTACTCTAAAGTCTAAACTATCTCCTCCTTTCTCAACCCACGGGAAAAAGAAGCAATACGTTCTTTGATAAGTTAGAAGAAAACCTGGATGTAGTTCATTCAAGTGAACATTTTTAAGCCGGTGAACTTGGTAGAGCAATTGAATGTTAATCAAGGTTGAACTGTACAATAGACAGAACTTGTGTCAGCCTCAGAGCTATAACAAGTCAAGCTAATAGACAAAAAAAAAAAGAAAAAAAGAGGAGAAATCCACATAATTGAATTATCTGGACGGTAAATTGCAACAAATGCATTAAGTAAGACTACATCATATTTTGAACAGGTTATGCTGTCAGCTACTACTATTACTACTACAACATAAGCATCTCGGCAACTGAAACATGAGTAAATCGTTTTTGTTATCTAACCTTGAATTTATTCCGAGTAGGATACACTTCCTTGCATTTCCCCTAGTTCTGAGGTCCCACTCGAGGATGAGTACTGATGGAACTAATTTGAAGGAAACTTCATAATCTCCAAAGTTATCAGCTTACTGTATATATCTTCAGCCAAATTTCTGAATATCCAAAACAAGAAACTGATGTTTTAACCATTGTGCTAAAAATTGAAATACTGACAAAAGTGATGTTTTAGCTATTGTGATAAAGATCCATATCTACCAATGTAAATGGTAAAAGATTTGTAGTACATTAGCATTACTTTGTGCTATCAACCTTAAAGATCAAATCATCAATTCTAACCTACACTCGGTTTCTTTTACAATGACTCAGAGCAAGTTTAAAGATTAGATTAGTTCCAACATATTACCTTTTTGTCATCTAATATTTGAATGAAAATGCTTCGCTCCACACAGTCGCAATAGATGATCCACACTGTTCAACACTACTAAGAAAAACAAGAAGAATTAACAAACAAGGTGTCTCCAAACTGAGTTCAGGGCATTCTGAAATTCTCAATCTTGTCAGAGAAGAAAGATTTTCAGGCAACTTCCCGATCAACTTGGGGCAACCATTAATCCAAAGTTCCTCAAGTACAGGGAACTCTCCCTTCCCCAGTACATGCCACTGCTTCCACTCCGGCATCTCTATGAATTCAAGCTTCTCAAGGGAGTTAAATGGCTTTGTGCAGGACAAACTACCATAGAACTCTTCACTCACCTCTGTTATTTGATGCATCCCTCTAATGGTAAGGAATTTTAAACAAGGAAGCTGTCCTAGTGCTGGCAAGGAATCACAGTTCTTGCAGTAGATAAGAGACACTTCTATTAGTTTATGAAATGAATGATCAGCTAGCCAATTTGGAAATTTTGTCCCTCTATAGCAAGTGATTCGGACTTCTTTTATGTTTGTATTTGGTTGTAGCTCATCAAGTATCTCTCTTTCAGTTTGTGAATTGTCAGCATTACTTCCACTCCACTCCAAAGATAACCTTTCAACATGTTTCTTTTCCCTCATGTTTGCCTTCAGAGATTCCCTTCTATCGACCACATTTTGCAACTCTAGAATTGATAGAGATCCATACAAATCTTCCATTCTCGAACCACCGTGACCACTTAGAAGAAACTTGGCTCCCACTAGCGCATGGAGATTTTTCAACTTGCTTAGATGTAGGGGTGTCCTCAAATGAGCTTCGCTAATGTCAAGGTGACGCAAATTGATCAGTTTTTCCATATGTAGAGGTAGCTCCTTAAGAGAACTACAATGTGACAACAGAAGTGTCTCTAAGTTGTACAGTACACAAATTGAATCTGGCAACTTTTTTATATTTGTCCAAGAAAGGTCCAAAAATCTTAGGTGCTTTAACTTGATAAACAAATCATTTGGCAACTCCTTAATCGTATAATGAGACAATGATAATGCCCTCAAAGATGTTAGTCTTGGCAATATGTCATGCAGCACCCTGTTGCTTAGATGGCATGGACGCCGCTGGATATTGATGGGAAGCAATGTCCTCAATTGCTCCAATTTGTTGAGGATTTTCAGTTTACCAAAATCACCATTATCCATTGAATATGACAAGTGTCGAGTTCGTTCCAACATATGAGATGCTTCGATGTCTTCCAACCTGATACACTGATTGGAAGATGCAATTTGGGCCAAATCATTGACAAGGTCATGCATTAAGAATTCCCTCGAAGTCCATTCAGAAGACTTTCGGACCCTTTCAAACAATGATCTCGATCTCAACTCGAGAAAATTGTAACATCCGACAATTTAAAAATGAATATGAAGAAGCTTGAAATTTGGAAATAGTCATTTTTTTGAAAAATTTAAAATCTGGAAATTTGGCTAAGTGTGGAAATCAGTGAGTTTTTGGCCAACTTTGAGCAGTCATAACTCCTAGCTCAGGATGAGTTAGGAGTATTTCCAGTTATGGTTTCGAAGCTTGTGGAACGATCTTTCCAACGCCACTGAGTTTGCTCGATTCCGAGTTCGTATGAGCGAGTTATGATCTTTGAAAGTTGGGCAGTTGGCAGGGATTCCGTTCCGGAAATTTAAGGGCATTTTGGTCTTTTCACAAATAATTTCTTTTGAGCTTATATTGTTGTATTAGGCTGATATTTGGATCATTTTGTCCCATTTTGAAAGAGAAAGAGTTAGGGTTCAAGAGAAGAAGAAGAGAAGAAGGAGAAGAAGAAGAGAAGAAAGAGGAGATCAACAAGATTTGTCAAGATCATTGTGGATTTTCGTCGGGGGTGATCCCTATCAAGGTATGTGAGTCTTTAGTGTGGGTTTATCCTTTCCCCCCACATACCAAGCTCGTTTTTATGATTTGAGAAGAGATTGGATTTGTTGTTGAAGTTGTTAGTTGTTGTTGATGTTGTTAGTTGTGTTGTTGAAGTTATTGTTGGTTGTGGGACAGGATTGGGCTGTGTATTTGAGTTGTGACCTATTGTATATTGAGGGATTTTATGATCCTTAGTGTTGGTTGGTTCATACCCCCACACACCAACTCGTTTTTAATTCCAAGAGAAGATTTATTGGTTGTTGAAGTTGTAGTGGTGTTGTGTTGAAGTTCTTGCTGATTTAGTACAGATTTCTGGCTGTGATTTTTGAGTTGAATCTATTGTATAATAAGGGTCTTTATGATTCTAAGTGTTGCTGCTGAAACCTTGAGGTTGAGAGGGTTTAGAATTGGAAAGAAACAAGGGGAAAAAGTCGGATTTTTGGGGAAAAAGGGGCTGGGCTGTTGCACCTCTCCTAGTGCCAAGGACACCAATCCTTCCCTTTCATTCACCATTTCTTTTTTTATACATGTTCCTAGGTATTATACCTATGTTTCCTAGTTGTTTCCAACACTCCAAGGTACTTCCAAAAGTCAAGTAAAACTACAAGTCAAGTGAAGTTAGTTTCCAAGTCAAGTGAAGTTAGTTTCCAATTCAAGTGAAGTTAGTTTCCAAGTCAAGTGAAGTCAAGCTTAGAAGTAAGTAAGTCAAAGCAAGTCTTTAAGGTTTTCCAAGAGTCTTCATTGAGCGTTTTAACTTCATTCTAAGGCTCAAGTTCCAAGTTAAGTATTGAGTTTCAAGTCAAGTCAAAAGTTAAGAGTTTCATGTTAAGTTAAGAGTTTCACATCAAGCCAAGAGTTCAAGTAAAGTAAAGAGTTTAAAGTTGAGTTCTTTTCTCAAAGTTATTAGGGAACTATGTATTCCCAAAGAAGTTTTAAAGAAATATTTTTTTTACATTTAAACAAGGTTGGAAACTGAGATTTCCAAAAGAGCCTTCGGGTTAGTTTTTGAGTATTTATCTCATATCAGCAGGAATAAATATGTTTTAAAAACATAAGAGCCAGTACACTTTTGGGAGTAGTATCGAGCACCGAATTGGGGGAGCGTTCAAAGAACCCACAGCCCCCATAGAACCATGTTAGCCACCATGGGTAGAAAAGGATCATACTTTTTAGATGAATCCTTTTCAGATTAGACTAGTGGATCCATTAGGCAGTTCAGGTCTTATGCTTTTGGCCGGGTATAAGATGCTCTGGCAGCGTGAGGACGATCGCTGTATCATCACTATAGCTCTTATGTGATGGTTGTCGGTTAGAGAAACTCCCACAGCAGTTATTGTATTTTTCATACACAGAGATTATTGTATTTTTATATACATCAGTTCATTGTATTTCTATATACATTTCAGGCTTATTGTATCTTTGTATACACACAGAGTTTATAACATATTTTAAACAGTCTTTCTTTATATCACACTTGTTTTAAATTGCCTTATATTGAAGAAGTCAGTCAGGTTGAGTTGAGTTGAGCCAGGTAAGCTATTCAGTTTCTTCCAGATTTCCTTCTAGCCTCTGTTGCTTAGTTTTCCAGCTTGCATACTCGTACATTCCATGTACTGATGCCAGTTGGCCTGCATCGTTTGATGATGCAGATTCAGGTACCCCGGATCAGCATCCTGCACGTCGTTGATCCAGCTGAGCACTCCAGAGTCAGTGGTGAGCCTCCTTGCATTCCGGAGGACTCAATTATTTTGTGTTCTTAGTTTTTGTTTTATTAGGATGTTGCGGGGTCTGTCCCAACATCCATCTCAGTATTTTAGAGGCTTCATAGACAGACAGTCAGTCAGTTAGTTTTGAGTCTCTCATCTATATATATATGTAAATATTCTATTTTGAGATTCGAGTTGCCTTTATGGCCATATTTTATAAGTTAAGTTGTTTTGTAATATTGCATTGCATTGAGTTATTCTGTTGAGGTTTCCGCTGAGTTAAGAAAGCCAGGCCAAGGGTTCGCTTGGGGCCAGAAATGGTCTCCGGGTGCCGGTCCCGCCCAGGGTGTAGGCTCGGGGCGTGACAAACTTGGTATCAGAGCCAGGTTCAGGAGTCCTAGGGAGTCTATGAAGCCGTGTCTGTAGAGTCCTAGTTATCGGTGTGAAGCGCGCCACATCTATAATTGGGAGGCTGCAACATTTAGGAAGATTTCTCATTTCTTTCACACTCATTTCATGCGTTAGAGTTGATCTCTAAAAAGTTTCTTTCTAATCCGTGCTTGCGCGTGTTTCAGATAGTCATGCCTCCACGAAGAGTTGGTAGAGGGCGTCTTCCTAGACGTTATGTTGATGAGCAAGAGTTACCCTATGCACCGGGAGTGCAAGATCAAGGGGAAGTTTCTAATGCCGAGTTCAGAGAGGCAATTAGAATGTTGAGTCAAGCTGTAGCAAATCAGATTGGTCAGCAAAGAGGAGCTCGACATGAAGGAGCTGACACTTCAAGGATTCGTGAGTTCTTGGGGATGAATCCTCCGAGTTTCATGGGTTTGAGCACTACTGAGGATCCAGAGGATTTCATTGAGGAGTTGAAGAAGATTTTTGATGTGATGCATGTGGCAGATATTGAGCGGGTTGAACTAGCTGCTTATCAATTGAAGGATGTTGCTAGAACTTGGTTCGACCAGTGGAAAGGGGGCAGAGCTGAGAATGCACCACCTACAAGTTGGGCCGATTTTGAGGAAGCTTTCTTGGGGCATTTCTTTCCTCGAGAATTGAGAGAGGCCAAGGTACGTGAGTTCCTCACACTTAAGCAGGAGTCCTTGAGTGTTCATGAGTACAGTTTGAAGTTCACACAATTATCCCGCTATGCTCCGGAGATGGTTGCGGACATGAGGAATAGAATGAGCTTGTTTGTTGCTGGGTTGTCTCGGTTGTCGAGCAAGGAAGGTAGGGCTGCAATGCTTATCGGGGACATGGACATATCAAGGTTGATGGTTTATGTGCAGCAGGTTGAGGAAGAGAAGCTGAGGGACAGAGAAGAGTTCAGAAATAAGAGAGCTAAGATCGGGAACGAGTCCGGGCAGCAGAGAGGTAATTCAAACCGTTCCTCCTTTCAGCAAAGGCAAAAGGGACCTGCTCCATCATTTGCTAGAGCACCTGCACCCAGATACAGAGGTGAATTTAATGTTCAGAATTCGAAGGACTTCAGGGCTAGACCAGCACAATCTTCGGGTAGTGTGGCGCAAGGGAGTAGTAAGCCTCCTGTTTGCGCCAAATGTGGTAGGAACCACTCAGGTATTTGTCGAGATGGCTCCATTGGTTGTTTCAGGTGTGGTCAGAATGGACATTTCATGCGAGAGTGTCCAAAGAATAGGCAGGGTAATGGAAGCAATAAAGCACAGTCTTCTTCAGTTGTTCCACCAGACAGGACGGCACCTAGAGGAGCTACTTCTAGTGTAGGTGGAGGAGCAAACCGCCTTTATGCTATCACCAGTCGCCATGAGCAAGAGAATTCTCCGAATGTTGTCACTGGTATGATCAAAGTCTTTGCTTTTGATGTGTATGCTTTGCTAGACCCAGGAGCGAGTTTATCTTTTGTAACTCCTTATGTTGCAAATCAATTTGAGGTTCTTCCTGAAAGACTTTGTGAACCCTTTTGTGTTTCTACACCTATTGGGGAGTCTATTCTAGCGGAAAGAGTTTATCGTGATTGTCCTGTTTCTATCAATCACAAGAGCACCATGGTTGATTTGGTTGAGTTAGACATGGTAGATTTTGATGTCATTCTAGGTATGGATTGGCTTCATGCTTGTTATGCATCGATAGATTGTAGAACTCGAGCAGTCAAGTTTCAGTTTCCGAATGAGCCAGTCATAGAGTGGAGTAGCAGTTCAGCAGTGCCTAAGGGTCGTTTTATTTCGTACCTTAAGGCAAGAAAGTTAGTTTCGAAGGGTTGTATCTATCACTTAGTCCGAGTTCATGATTCTAGTGTTGAGATACCTCATTTCCAGTCAGTTCCTATAGTAAGAGAGTTTCCAGAAGTGTTTCCTGATGATCTACCCGGAATTCCTCCTGAGAGAGAGATAGATTTCGGCATAGATCTCATTCCAGATACTCGTCCTATCTCTATTCCGCCATATAGAATGGCACCACAGAGTTGAAAGAGTTGAAAGAGCAGTTGAAAGATCTCCTAGAAAAGGGTTTCATTCGACCGAGTGTCTCACCTTGGGGTGCTCCGATTTTGTTTGTGAAGAAGAAAGATGGTTCCCTTAGAATGTGTATAGATTACCGCCAGTTGAACAAGGTTACCATCAAGAACAAGTACCCTCTTCCGAGGATTGATGATCTTTTCGATCAGCTTCAGGGTGCCACTTGTTTTTCAAAGATTGACCTCCGATCCGGCTATCATCAGTTAAGGGTAAAGGAAAGTGATATCCCAAAGACAGCTTTCAGAACCAGGTATGGTCATTATGAGTTTTTGGTC